CAATACAAAGAGGTATTTCTCAACAGAGCAGTGTCTGCACCAGAAGCTTGTGGGGTTTTTTGTGATTTTGTTGTTGTTGTGTATCGGCTTTTCTAATACAAAACATCAGCAATGTAAATAGAGCACTTACCTAATGTGGCTGGCACAGAGAAAAAGATGTCCTTCAGATGAGCATCTTAAAGTGGAAAAGCACAGCAAGCTCATGAGTCCTGATGAAATTACCTGTGGGTGGATTTTTACTTCAATACTCACCCAGCTGCCAGAATAAAAGCACCATTATAGGGTGCTGGCCTATAGAAACTTAATTAATCATGGAAAATGTGTGGGGTGTGCTTCTGTGTTTTCCAACCTTAGTACCCTAAGTGCCACTTGCACTTAGGGGATGGGGGACTATTCTGCATTTTTTCATAGCTCTACTGTGTTTTGTTGCAAGCCTAATCTCTCAACCTTTACTTTTACTTTACATAAACAAGCAGTAGAAGTATTAAGGTCACTTAAGGAAGTGAGGACTTTCCTCACTTTTATGTGAGAACAGGCGTGTCTCATCAACATCTTTTATGACAGAGTTATTCGAGGAATAAACCTGCAAGGAGCTGGGCTCTAGAAATAAGAGCCCACAAAGTGCTCCCTTAGATAAGCATGGAGATTGCTCAGATGCTTAAAGCTGTTTGCCAGTATTCAGATTTTGGGACCTGTTCTGTGCCAGGTCCCATAAATACAAAGCACTGAACCTGCAGCCTGTGAAAGCACTGAAATTGGGTCTATACAAGATTTCTTCACTTCTTTATTCCTCATGAAGGAGGATATTGAATGAAGAGGATGGATTTAATCCAGGTCATACAGTAAAGTTATTCCAAAATCAAGGCTGAAGGGGGCACAGCCACTGGGCACCCATCATCCTCTGTCCTTCTAACTTCTAACCTTTCTTTTCTAAACATTCATGTGCTTTGGGAAGCATAATACTAACAAATACATAAGAAAGCTGAAAGTTGTATCTGTCCTGGGCTGTCTCTCTCCAAAAAGTAGTTACTATTATGTTTTAAATTATTTTGTTAACTACATTTCAGATGACTGAAGTAATAAAATGCTGACAAGTCATGGATAAGATGCTGTCTTCTGGCAGGTGCTAATAGAGTACTTCAGTAATGATATGGCATTGAGGAAGCTATTCCTAAGAGGGATCAAGTTTAGAAAAACATCCAGGATTCCAGAAAAAAAAAAAAAAATCTTTTCACAGTATAGAGGTAATTTTCCCTAAGGAGCTAAAGTGGGTTTTGCCCTCAAGGGATCCAGTTTTAGGGAAGAAAAAGCACATTTTAAAACCTAAAGTTGATATTTGAATTAAACTAGTATTTATCATTCAAACATAGAACATACCATTCTAATTGAAAAAAATTAGGATGAGGGCCAGGGGGAGGAAATTCCATTTTTTTTTCCCAAACAGCTCCACTTAGGCAACTCTGTTAGGAAATGTGTATTTTGGATCATTTCCAGGTTTGTCTAATCCTAAAACAAGTAACCCAATTGACACAAAATGATTTTTTCAATACACACATCAAAGTCTATGAAGAGTAGTACACTTTTGCATCCAGCAAATTATAAGACAACAAAAAAAAAATCTCAGAACTTACAGGGATGATGCGTCTCTACTCTCTTACGATCATCCCAGGGACAGACCAGCTCCTCCCCAGGTACTGGTGTCATCTGGGTTTGTGGCACTACAGGCGATTTCCATCCCTCTGTCCCAGAAGAGCACACAGTGATAGACTGTCATGACATGGCATGACATGTCATTTTACCCACAGAAAACACCTGCATTTCTAGGGACACCACCAAAAAAGCAACCTCTTTTAGACATGGCACTTTCTGTTTCTGCAGGTGGGGAGTGCCCTGGGGCTGAGGCTTCTCCTTTGTCCACCTGTGGAAGCTGGAGAGATGCTCCAGGTGCAAAAAAATAGGTTTAGTGCTGACCAGAAGAGCTCACTTTGGGGTGGACTGAATTCTGCCCACGCCTCAACCACATCTCCCAAAATAACCACCAATCCAGCTGTAAGCTGCAGACAACAAAGAGAACCCAGCATTGTGTGACACATAAAATAAAATCCTCCAGTTAAGAGCAGAATTCAGTTAGAGGTTAAAGGTATGCTGAACTTTAATCTGCATCCTGGGTACAGTTTATGGTATGTGAAAAGGGAAATATTGCCATAATGGGCTGCTGCTGCCATCTACTGAACACAAGGAATGTGTACTGCACAGATTTACAGTTTGTCTAGTGATTAAGAGGGAGAATATATGCTTGGCTGGATTTAGTAAAATTTCTGTGTCGTTAGAACTATCATGTTTGTTTCTAGATGATAACCAGAACAGGAATTTGCTTTAGAGAATACCTGTGAGCCTTCGGGAGACACTGAGTTCTCCTTTGGAGAGCCACTCCCAGCCCGTGGGGGAACTGGGAAAGGTGAGCATGCACAGCTCCCATAACGGGAAACACATGGCTGTTAACAGGAGTTATTAGTTAGAGCTGCAGGTTATTCAAATCTTAGTCCACATCAGCTCTCCTTTAGTAATGTCACCCAGAACTCCATCCTCTTTGCTGAGGATGAATACTTGCCTCTGTGTCGCAGCTGTGATCAGGAGGAACGACCTTCCAGCTGAAAAAGAACTGGCACTGAATTTCTACCAGAATGCTGATGGGTGGGATGAAAGTCCAGCAGGCTGCTGAGGGAGTTCTAAGGAGAAGGAGCAATCCCAGCCCCAGTGCTTCTTCTATTCAGGGCCTGAGTCTCTTCCTGTGAGTCCCAGAGGCTGCCTCTGAGGGCAACCAGAAGCATTCAAACATACTCGTATACATTCACATTAACAGCAAAAAAAAGGTGTATTAACACAAAAAACAGCAATAAAGTCACCAACTGCAAGAAATCCAGTATTATCATCTGGTTGCAGTTCATTAAAAAAAAAAATATATATGCACGTATTGCTTACCTACAAGGTATTTACATGGACACTCATAGACAAACTCAGCCCTGCAGGGAAATAAAACCCTATTTTGTGTTGACTTCAAAGGAGGTAGGACAGATTTGCTTCAGAGATGTCTTTGGCTTGTTAAGGATCATAAGAAGACTGAAATTGCAGAGGAAAAGGGGATCCTGCTGATCTTACCAGGCTGACAGTTCAGACACACACAGCTCAACAACACTGCACAAACGTGGTTTTGCACAAGACAAGATTATGCTCTACAATAATACTCACTTCTGTCTAAAATGGAAAAGAGATTTAAAGAAAAAAAAATAATACAAAGATCTGGCTCTTTTTCTCAGTCTACATCAGAGTAAGTCAGGAGTGAAAGGGCTGGATTCAAGAGCGTGAAATTAGCGAGAATAGCAAAAACCGTCCTTTATTCCTCTGCAAAACCATAAATTTCCACAGGAGGGAGCTTCTTGCCCACGAAGCTGACAGGGTGTTCCTCCTGGGAAAGGTGGCAGCAATGGTTCCCTGCGAGCTCATACCTTGTGCATCCTGATTGCACTGCTGAGGGTTACAGCGAGAGCCAGTGACGAAATGGTTAACAGATAATGATGATTGTCAGAGCTTGTTAACCACAATTATTTTCAAGACATATGTAAATCTGTATAAATACCCAAGTGTGGTATATAATCTCAAACATACTGTTTAAATCTATAAGCATTCCTGAGTTAATTTCACTATGGGAACGTTAGTTGCAACTTCCTGACTTCACTGTGTTTGAATTCATATCCATGAACATTAATTTAAAATTAGTCTAAATATTTGTTGAGAATTAATCACCTGATAAATTTAGCTCTTTTTCATTTTTATGAATTATTCATTATCTCCTCTCTTTCCGTTGATGTGTTGGTTGTTTGCAAGAATTGAATTACTGGTTCACACTGAAAAAAAAAAAATCCAGCATTTCCAGTGATTTGTAAAATGTTCCCCTTAGAAACTTGACTGGTGATTATGCTGGGTTTACCACCAATATTTTATGGCACTGGTTTGCTTCTTGAAAGACCCACTGGAGTTTTTGAGAAGCATAAGCAAGTTTATACAGCAAATATTTTGCAACAAAAGAAAAAGTTTCTGTTTATGTCTTCCATATATATCATGGATGTTTCAAAAAATGAAGCTTGTATGAGTAAAAACCTGTTGGTGGGAATGTTTGGGAACAGTATGAGACGTTACTGAGGGGATGAACAGTACAACCACTGAACTAGAAAAAGCTCTTTTTGCACAGCCCTATCGTAGAAAATACCTGAGCTTGCCAAAGGAAAAGAATAATTCCGTTCTAGGATGGCCTCAGGCAAGTCTGAATGAAAAATTATCAACCACCAGATATTGTAACAGAGAGCAAACCTTTTAAGGAAGACCTTGAGTGGATGGCAGCAAGAATCTTTACCACTGGGTAGTTCAAAGTGAAGTGCTTTGTGTGCCTCCAGCGTAGAGAGGATCACCTCTCAAATCTTTTATGTGGCCTGCCTTCAGTGGAAATAGAGGAAGCCCAGATTTCCTGAACAGAGCTAACATTCCCAAGTCTAGTGTTGGCAGCCTCATTTCTGGCTGCCACTCATTAAAACAATCTTTGCCATAAAATTAATTTACTTGCCAGCATAACTTCCCTTCTTTCAGCACACTGGAACAGGTAACATCTTGAACTCCCCATCTCATGATGTCCTTGTATTTGTTACTTTCAATATCAGTTTGCTACTATTAATTAAATAGCAAATCAGAAAATTACTTCGAAAATTATAAAGAAGCAGCTCCCCCCCCCGAACACACCCTCGTGGGGGTAGTACCTGGTACCAGCACCTGCAAAACATCAAAGGCTTCTCTAAACACAGACTTTCATCAATGATGCTGCAAGCCTTCACCTAACCTTTCATGATTTCCCATGCAGGAACATCAAAAGAGAAGGAAGAGAACAGCACTGTTCCAAAGCAACAGCGCTCTGTGGGAAAAGTACGTGTTTAGCTCCAACACACATAAAGTGTAAGTGGCAAATTGTTATTTACGGGAGACATATTTTAATAAACATCATCATTAGCTCCCTGTCTTTTCCTATAAGGAACAAGGATTTTTGCAGTTCAAAATCATGTCCAAAGCTCAAGTGATTTCTGGAGGAAAATGAAAAAGAATTAGGAAGTATCTAATGTGTAAGTCTTCAAAGCAAGAGGATCAATTTATGTTCATTTCTACCTCCTGAAACACATTCTGCATATTTCATTGTTTCTGTCATCTTGTTATAATCCATCCAAAGAGTTTTCAAAGAACATTAAGTCCTACAAATAAACAAACTGTGAATTAGAGATGGAAGGCATAAAAATGCAACAATTACTATCAAAAGTCTTACTTGTAGGTTGTTGTTACACAAAGTAATTAGATTAGGCAATCACTTTCCATCACTGCCACTGAGCAACAGGAGTTTTGGGGGGGACAATCCAAAAACCTTAACTGTCATTTCTATCCTAGCAAAAGCAAAATTTTATGAATTGCAGCAATTTTAAGGCAAACACTTTTCAGTGAATAATTTAAATATTTTTTAAATTTTGTTTTATATTTTCTGTAAGTATCACAGATGATTGTGAAACCACTGCATGTTAATATTGACACAACTGTGTTGGCAGAAGAGGTACACAACAAATACCAATTTGTAATTCTAGAAAATGGGCATCTTAACTTCATCTTTACCCCTAGCACTGAGTGTTCTTCTCATAAAATTCTTATCTTCACAAGGGAATTTTTATATCACCTGAAGGTTTTACATTGAACACTTAACAGAACTATTGGACTGGTTTGAAATGACCACTAGAAACAACATAACTTTTTTTTGTTTCATACACTTGTTCAAAACCAGTAAGGGGCTTTAGGGAGTTTTGTAGGTTCGACATGTTGAGATTTGATCCTGCCATATTAAATATTGAATATATTTTGTTTAATAAAGAAAAAATTAAAAAAACTAAAAAAAACCAAAAGCAGACATAAAAATTGAAACGTTTTCAACTAATTTATCTTTTAGGTATCAGGTTTGGCTTTGCACTGCACTTACACCTTTGTAGGATCACAGCTGACACCAATGAGCCTTTGGCCCCAGTCTGCACCCCTCTATAGGTCTGCCTTTTCCCTGTGCATACTTACAATGAGGAAACAAGCACCAATCATTACTGCCTTCATTCTCACATCAAGATCCACAGGGACTTGGATCCCGAAGTTGGCAGTGTTGGTAAAGACGTTGTTTACAAACCCAGACCAGAACTTGGAAATTTTGCCAATCGTTGTCATCTCATTGAGAGCTTTTACCTGCACAAATAAAAAACAGGAGCAGACATAAATGTAAATAAATCAAGTGCACACTGATGACATCTCCACAGAATTAATGACTGTGCCCTGACATGCAGAGTATGCTATAGTTGTCAGGTTCTCCTTTTATTCTTATGGCTGAGATGTTCTATTAGTGTCAAATTTGCCTTTAGGAGTGGCACACAAGAAAGGGTCTCAAGTTTGGAAATCAGCATCTTTAGAGCTGACAGAAAAGTGCAGGAAAGCAAATTTGAAAGTTTATACTTTTGTTCCTCTCTCATAGTGTTGGTCTTGCCCTGTCTCATGTTTCTGGCATGCTCCTCATCACAGTGCCCTGGACCCCTGGCCCCTGAGGGGACAGATCTGTTCTCAGCTACCATCTGCTTGCTTCTCACATTGTACTGACATTTCAGACAGCACCCACTGCAATCTTCTGGTTTGGGTAATGAGTTGATACACCCCAAAGTTCCCTTATGGTTCTCAGCTAAGGCAAAGCACTTTGTTCACATCAGAAAACTCCATTCAAGGTTTCTTCAAGCATCTCCCATTCCCCCTCTCATCTGAGAAATTTATTCAAAACAGTAAAACTCTTAAATTCCTAACACTCATGAGCAAACCTACCTCAAAGTCAACATCTTCAAAACAGCCACAGGTTGCATATGGGCCAATTATTTTTAGTACATCTTCTTTACTTTGATTCTGTATAGTAAACTTCGGCAGAAAAGGGTCCCAGTTCTGTACAACATACCCAGCTGTTGTACCTGGTGGGGACTGAACTTCTAACTAGAAAACAAAAGGAAAAAAAACCCACAACAGCAAAATGTTTCAAACTAATTTCATATTAGTACATTTTTCCTTTATAGTGTACTGTTTATATAATGCCAAAATACTTATTTATTGCATACAGTGATATGTAAGTTTACCAAACAGCGAACTGGATATTGCAAAACAGTCTAGTGGTGTTTTTAAATGTAGAGGAAAATATGAAGCTCAAAAGTGCCACCAGAAGCAAACATCTTTTAAATAAGACTTTATAAAAGCCATACACTGAGAAAGGATTTTGTTATTGTAATCAGCGAGTATCCTATAAGCTTTTTTAATAGCTGTGCTACCAAGGGATCTTTTTTTTTAAAATCCCAATGAAGGGCTGAGAGCATAAGTGTAATATAAAACACTCTCATAAAACAAGAAAGAAGTAAAAAATATGGAGAAAATCTCTGATACTCTATGGGACCTCCACTCTTCACTCCGAGCAGCTCACTTCCATTTTCTGCAGTTTCCCAGAGATATGTGGCCTTGAGGAGGCAGAGCCACAGACCGAAGCATCAGCCTCCTCAGAGAGCTGCTCCCCAGCCACACCCAGACACATCCACGGCCTCCAGGGATTTTCCATCCTTTCCCCTCCTGGACCACAGTGGGTGATGTCTCTCTGTGCCAAGGCAAGCAGTATTTTGGGGTGTTATGTGAATGGGGAGCTGTGTATCATCAGACACAGCAGCTCTATGAGGGATGTAAGGAAAGCGAGGTCCCGTGGAAGGCAGGGGAGGCACACTGGGACCTGGCCTCGTTGATCTAAAGGAAGGTCTGCAGTGCCCCAGCACGAGCAGGGGCTGTGAATTCCTTCCTGCCACCCTGGCAGAGCTGCAGGGGGCTTCATCAACGCTGTGCACATAGGGCAGGACGCTGGAACAAAAAGCATTTGGGCTTCCCTCACCTCCTGCAGGAAGCAGGGGCACCAGCAGCTGCTGCATCTCAAGGGTCTGATCACCCTGATCACCTCCCGGCCCGCGTTATCCGCAATCCTCATGGTGAGCGACCTCAGCGGCGAGCACACCTTACGGTCAAAACACTCGTTCTCTTCTACTGCAAAGTAAACTCTTTGCCCCAAGTGGTTTTTTATCTCGTATCTGCTGGAGGTCTCTGTGCCAAGTATGGCTGATAAAGCAAAACAAGTAGAAGGTTAATTTATTATGATGTCAGTCTATGTATATATGAGTACATGCTCTAAAGACACAGATTTTTAAACAGATTGTTAAAAAGAAAAGTGCTTTGAAATACCAAAACAAAGAAAATATACAGTTATAAAGAAATAATAATGCCAGGTCTGTATTTGGAAGAAATTAGTTCAAAGGCTTTGATTTGCCGTATGCTAAAGTACATATCATAAAATAGAATCCATATCCTGAGTTCTGGTTTAGGCTTTTTCTTACTTTATCATCTGTGAAAAGTAATACTATGAGGCTGCCCTACCTCAGTAACTAAGCTTTCACCCAGTGGGTCATTCAAGAATCAGACCAAAACTGTTCTGAATGGGAGAAAAACATTTTGGAGTGTTTTACCTGCAGAACTTAATACTTGTTCAGTACTTTGAAATTCTGAGAAACCATGTAATTAGAAACTCTTCTGCCTCACTTTCTGTCTTCTGACCTTCATTTCTCTCTTTGCTTTGTTCCTCCTTTGTTAGTTATCGTTAAAGACAATACATTTTTCCATGGATTGGAATGATGGTCAGACTTTAATAACACTGAGGTGGAGGTGTCTGAGGGAAAGAATTTAGGACCGTTGTAGAGGCTATTCCCTGTAATCCTTCTCTTCTCAGTGCTTTGCTGCAGAACATGCATACAGTAAAGTGAGCCCTCCCTCCACCATCACCACATCCCAGTCTGACACGAGGGCACTGAGAGGCTTCACAGTGAGGAAGGGGCAGGACTTGGAAGCCTTTTGGAGACCTCTGTGTACCAGCCCTGGCAAAGAGTGGCAAGGATTGCACCATACCTTCCAGAAGCTCCACTTGCTGATGAATAATTATCCGGTCCAGCTGTTTAGAAAAAAAAAAATAAACAAGATGGTGGGTCTCGGATAGGTCTGGGGCTGCCAGTGGTCACCTGTCTATTTTTATTGCTCCTCTCCCTGTTACTGGGATTTCTTTCCTCCCAGAGGTGCACAGGCTGGGTGCCTGAGGGCTATCTCCATCACACTTTAGAATTCTCTCTGAAATTATGGCCAAAGAATGTGACACTGGGTGCTGTGGCCATGTAATTCACCCACACATTGGGAAAAAAATAATCTTCATGGGGGAATAAGGAAGACAACAGCAACAGAAAGCTGTGTGAGGAGCAGGACCCACTTTTTGCTCCTGTTCCTCCTGCCTGGCAGAGGGGAAGCCCCTCATCCCAAGGCTAAGGTTGGTGCTGGGCACTGTGGCAGTGCAGGAGTGAACAAGGCTGGGTTCAACCTTAAAATGTGCTGGGACCACATCCCAAAGGGCCTCAGGAGCTCTGCATCCTAAATCTGGCAAATGGTCATGCCAGGGTGCCTGAATGAGCAAAACAGCAGCTCTACAAAGAAATCTTACCTGGCTGAAAAATCTTCTTACCCCGTGAGCTGGTTACAAATGCAGGAGAAAAACTGCTTGCCATGAGACCCAGCTTTGCTGTGCTTATCATCCCTCTGACATTATTCTTCTTTAGAGAACAGTTGTTGGTATTATAAAACCAGCAAGACTTAATTTCAGTCTACCTTTCAGTTTTATGTGACTTTTTATGCCCGTTTTATGGGCTAGTATATTAAGGCTTTACCAGCCTTTTCCATAAATTCCTGATGGGCAAACGGTTGGCACAGGGTCCTGCCATTCCTCACAGCTGCAGACAGAAAGCACACAGCGACCTTCTGAGACCAGCATGTCACAGCTCTCCAGTGCCTGCGTATTTTACAATTGATAAATCTTGCCTGCTACGTATTCAAACTGTTGCAGCCATTTGTCACTTCCAGTCATCTCCTGCAGCTAGTTCAGGCTGCAAAGAAAAGCTGGCAAAAAGAGGAACTTCTTCATCCCTTTCATTAATCTCTGAAATGTGCATGCCAGTAATTGAAATAATAAAAAATATTTAGGCTTAAAAATATTCTCCCAAGAATCTCTGCTGTTTGTTTAGGCTTGATGAGAGATGTGAACTCTTGGAGCTCACGGGAAGGGCTCTGCTGATGACAATAGAATAAACAAGTTAAAGATATTAGGGCTATTTTGATATTTTGGTATTGATTTTAATACGGATTTCTTTGCCCCACATAGACTTTCAGAGGGAAAAGAAAATTAATGAGCCTGAACTGTTAAAAGCTTTGAGTGATTTTGGTCTGTGCACTGGTTTATTGTGCACAATGTATAAACAATGTTGAGACAACACAGCAGTACCACTTGTTAGTCTTGTTTTCCCTTTCACTGGTTTCTGCCAGGCAGCTATTCTGATGCATTTTTATTGGGGCACTTGTGGATTAAGGGAATTCTGCACTTGCATTTGAAAGCATCCAAAGCCCTTTGGTTTACAAGGGTCTGGTTCTCTCTCAAGCTCAGATATGTTACAATTCCTTATACACAGCTAATTCTCAGTATTCAGTTCTGTGGGCATTAAATTTACATCTGATCAGTCTAACCAAGCCTATGCTAAGAAGCTTTTTGCAAAATTGGTTAAGCCTGAGTGGTGGCACAACATGAGGCTGAGCCACTCAGGAAATTCTCCTCCAGGGTCTCACTTGTCTATTCCTGCTGGGGGAAAAGGTTCCCTTTACTTTTATGATGGATGCTGAACAATTCTCCACATTATGGCTGTGATCTGGAAGATGATAATGAGGTTTGGGTAACTTTTTTTTTTGGCAGGAAATTATTTAAATAGTGTCACTTCTGTGATAGTTATAGGAAGCATGGTGTCTGTTTGCTGAGGCAGAAGCAGCTTTTTGCCCTTCTCTGGTGCACCTGAAGCAGCTGACTGAATTGCTCTTTCACCTGAACCCCGCATTTGCAGGGTGAAATACTGCTGTCAGGCCTTAAAGAACAGGACAGATATTTTCCTTTCCTCTTATCCAGCACTCTATACTGTGTCCTTGAGTGGCCATTTAGAATGAGATTGTAGGGATCCCTCTGAGATTCACTAAATCTGGATCCTTGTTTCAGAGTCAAACATATATATATATATGCTCTTATAAAGAAATATATTCAGCTTTTTCAAATCTATCCAGCTATCTTCCCCACTCGGGCTGAAGATAACCCCAGAATGTCCTTTCTATTTGATATCCTGTATTAATTCACAAACACTTTCTATATAATCTTTCTTCCAGCAATAGAAATTAAATGTGTCTCTTTCCCACAAGTTGTTTATTCTTCTAGGTACTCAGTCACGGTTCCCTCTCTGGTAGTGTTTTTTTAAGTCTAAAGATGAAACAACTGGAGCCTTCTTTTAAAGCAGGTTCTCTACTCCCCATGCCCTTCCAGTCGCACCTGTCTGTGCCTGTTTCAGTTTGGACCCACCTTTCCCCAACACACACAAGTAGCAGAAGGATACACAGTCTTCTAATGGCATAAAAAAATGCCCATTTCTTCTAGAAACGTCTCCATTTGAGAGTTTCATTACGTGAAAATCTCTGAGTCCACCAGGATAAATTCCAAGTGATTACCCTGGCAGCTGTGAATCCCACATTCATCCTGCAGGCAGCCCTCTCCCTGCTGGTGGGACCTCCTTTCTGCTCCAGTCTATCCTGTCTGAGCCTGCTTCATTAGTCACACAGACAGGATGACTGCAGCATCACACCCCAAAATGCTCTGTGATGCACAGGAACTCGAGCTGGGGGTATCTGCTGACAATCAGCATTGCACACATGCTTCCCACTTCTCAGACTGCAGAGAAAATTAAGAATACTTAGCAAGGGCTGCAGCACAGGCATATGGTTCTGGGGCCCAGAGCAAGCATGAATGAGATCTTCAGTTCTAGTTACAATTCTAAAAGCAACTGGCTTTTCTGCCTTTATATCAGATGTAAATCTTCTATAAAATGGAGCGATAGTTTTTGCTTGCCTGCATTGTTGAGGTAAATCTGAGGTGTAATTCATGTTCCTACAGGAGCCTGGATGTGTAACCTGCCAAGTATTTACTATCGGAATCACTTTTAGACTAAAAAATGCAGCTTCCAGTCTGTAAGCAAATGCTCCTGTAATTGACAACACACATCATTTTGTGCTTGGGCACCTGGAAATGAAAGCCATAACTCCACATGAAAGACTGCTTTTGAAGGGTCTCCAGTTTCATTAGCTATCTAGGTAACAGCTCCAAATATAAAATACACTCAATTTCTGCTTCTATACAAAACTACCAGAACTGTGTGCCTAAAAAATACAGACTTTGAGAGAAGTAAACATTTCCCATCATCACCAAAATGCAAACACAGCAGATATGTGGGCATTAGAATCACGACCTGACTACGCTGGGGGCCTGATTCTGTCCCTGCCCATCCCAGGCAGGGTGTTTGACTCCTCACACAGCAGATATCAGAGTGGCAGAATCCAGCCACAGGTGAAATGCAGACTGGAGTCAGTGGCAAAGTGACCATTTTTACCTTCCTGGTAAAAAAATTCAGGAAGACATGAAACTTCTGCACCAGAGCTGCAGATCATCACAGCTGTGAGCTCCCAGTCCTGAGAGGTTTCACAGGGTGAGAGGAACAGCCACACATTTAGCAGTAGGATGGAGAAGACTTAAGCACCCCCTCTCCTTCCCTCCTTGTGGCCTACTTGTCTGCTCCCATTTCCAAGCATTTCCCTCTCTCAGGAATCAGCACTTTCCTCCCCCTCAGCCCCATGAAGAGTGGGTGCAGGTTTTTAGTCTCCTTGGGAGCTTGGCTCCCCAGCAGAGCAAACCTCTCACCTGCAGAGGCAGGAGGAACGTGCTCAGGAGACCCTGATGTTCCTCAAAGAATGAGATGTGAGGAGGTGACAGTTCCTTCACACACTGCCTGTTTCAGTCTCTTTGAGGCCAGCTGGAGTTTAATAACCATTTCCCTGAGGGTGAGATCTTAAGGAGCTGGAAGGAAACTGGGGGAACAATGAGATGCATAATACTATGACCTAGAAAATGTCCTAGAAGGGAGAAAACAATAGTTTTGGTGCAAAGGAGGCTGCATGCATAACAAATTAATTTCTACAGAAGTGAATGACAGAAATGAAGAAAGAGCTTGTTATTCTTACTCTCCCAATTTCACAGTAATATCAAACAAGGAAAGAGCCTCTACATCTCCACCCACCACAACCTCATCCCTCAAGGTATCAAAGCAGCATATGAGGAAAACATAACAATTCTAACATTTGGAAAGATTCAGTACCTGGTTCAGGTATTCTAGACCAGGTGGCAAGTTATGAGTGTGTGATGTTTGCTTCCAGAGACTCGTTGGTTCAACAGGCTTATTCTGTTCAGGGATGTCGGAAGAACCAGGGAGGCAATCCTTAAAGATGGGGTTGGTTTGTCCTTGAGACTCTACATGGATAAAAAAGGAAAAGAAAATTAGAAATTAACAGGGCCAAAGAGCAGTTAGCTTCCTGGATCAAAGCTGCAACAATAATACCACATGTTGCATGTGACTGTATCAGTACTTTGGTTCAGATCAGAAATCAGGACCCAAAATGAATTTCCTGATGGTCCCACACTTCAAGAGTTCTGATTCACTTTATAAAGCAGCCTTAGAATTTGCAAAGAAGTGGACTGACTGCAGGTGAAGCTAAACCAGGAGATGTCTCTGAGAGCACCTGGTCTGCTCAGCTGGTGAGCACAGAGCCCGTGTGACAAGGCTGGGGCTGGTCACTGGTCTGCACTCACACACACAAGGGCAGCTGGGGGGGTTCAGCCTGGAGGGGCTCAGGGCAGACCTCACCACTCTCTAAAACTCCCGTAGAGGAGGTGTCAGGTGGGTATCAGTAATTTTATCTCATGTGTGACAATACTTCAGCACAATAGGGTTTGCGGTCCTGAAGGAATTTTGGCTCCAAGTCTGAATCTCTCTTTTGCTGCTGTGGGTTTAAATGAGATCCTTTAGCATTATTTGAACTCACTGTGAAAGATTCATCATTTAATAATATTTTGATCTTAATTTGACTTTGCAGCCACTGCTTTCTTTCAAAGTCTGAGACCACAGGAAGAAGTAACCCCTTTGAATTTGTAGCTGGCTTTTAAAAATGTATAACTGGGTAATAAATATTTTATATGCTCTTCTGCATCATTTTACCTCACAGGGTTCTGTTACTGCCGTAACTCTTGTTGTTACATGAAATGCCACGAAGTGGCCCAGTGTTAGTGTTATTCTTGAATAATAAAGAGAAAAAAAGACAACAAATTGCAGTTCTACCTGTCAAATTTTAAGCTATACAAAAATCAAACAGTAAATACATTAACTATTAATGACAATCTGAGCTACTCTGACACTTTGACTATTTTTATGGATGATTCCTATTTAATTTCTAATATAGGAAAACTCAGAAGTTACCGTACAATACAGTGAGTATTCTGTACATGTTCCTAAATGAGGTATATTGTCAAATTTCTCCACTCTAAATGCAGTATTTCACACCATTACTATTTCACTGCTTCTACTAACTGGTACACATCAAAAATATGCAAACCAGACCTCTCTTATATGGCTAAAGAGAACCAAAATAAAACACCCTCACCTATATAGCTAGAGTACAACAATGCTGTAAAACCTGCTTGGTGCTGTGTACCTTTCATGCTCGAAATGCAGAAGGTCTTGAGTATTTTGGGAGCAAAAAAGAGGGGTAAAAATTTGGCAAACATGGAGAGACATTGCTGAAACTCCCTAGGCCAACATCTGCCTCTGCACATCTGAGTATCCAAGCAGCTGCTACCAAAAGCCAGTACATGGCAAAGACAAACCTAGATAGGAGTGATCTGATAAAATCCAGTTACTCTTCAGATATTATTTTCCATACATGGTTAGTAGGACTCTGGCCAGTTTTGAATGTGAAAATCATTTGCTGATGTAGTATTTTCAAAGGGGAAGAGGGAAGAAGTGTGCAAAAACAGGGGTACCTTTTCCTCAGTGCCTACCCTTCCCACGCATTCTGCACCGACAGGTTTAAGCACAAAGATACAAACACTGAATTTTATAACTGAATGCAGATTCTAACGTTTGATAACATATTTTATTCAAATAACACCCTAGTATGGATTTTAGTCTCCTTAGGAGCCTCTTGGATGCTGAAAAATTAGAGGAAGGCAAAACAACTGTGCTTTGACTGATGTGGTTTTAGCCTGAAACACTCATTTCATCAGACTGCTGATTGCTGGAAACGTACAAGACTGTAGTTTTCTGTAAACATGATCTAAAAATACAGACTATAGATGCACTTACCTTGAGAGGCCATGACGCTTCCTGAGTTACTTCTTCAAAGGAAGCCAGGTTAAAAGAAAAGGCTTTTCTTGTTGCAGCAAAGAAAAAAAAGCGCACAGCATGCACAAAACTTCAGAAGGTGCCTGTCTACTTGATATCAGCTCACAGAGAGCGGGAGATGTGTCGCCTTCCTCATGGTGCAGAGCTGCATCGTCTGAGCTGGACAACAGGGGGAGATGCTGCCAGCCAGCCAGGAACACTGATCCATTCCGAGGCGTTTGCACCAATGGAGAGAGGGAAAAGGGCTTTGTGAGCACCAAGAGGCAAAACTTTAATGTACCCGCTGGCTAACTGAGCACAGCAGACCTAAAATTATGCTTTGTCATGTGTGTATTAATTATGAGACTGCAAAAAGTCCATCTTTGTTAATTCAGTATTTATCTTCAGATAAATATCTTCAGACTATCCAGTAAAGACAAAGGAGTTCATGAACCTGTGGATGACCCACCCCTAGAAGTGTTTAAAGCCAGCTTGGATGAAGCTCTGAGGCACCTGATCTCCTGAAAGGTGTCCCTGTCCATGGCAGCGGGGTGGAACTAGATGATCTTTGAGGTCCCTTCCAACCCAGGCCATTCTGGGATTCTGTAATTTCCCTGTTGCTGACCCCAGTAAAAACATTCTCCATGTACAAAGCAGGAAAAGCTGCCCTGGATTTCTCACTGTATTCCATGCTTAGCATCAACCAAGGGATGTCATGTCTAAACCCAGACCCAGAAAAAAGGGAGAGTCACCTTGACTTACCTGCTCATCTTTCTGCCTTGAGTGCCCAAGTGGCCGTGGAGATCATCAGGAGATCTGCAGGCAGAGGGGATGCATGGCTCAGAAATGGCACAGCCTAAGCACACAGCCCAGCAGAGCAGAGGGAGCTGTTGGGGACCATTGTCTGTCCCCTCTGCTATTGCAGGTTCTACTGCTTTGAAATGGTCTGCCAGGAGCAAGGCTGAGCAAATTAAATTCCAGAGTCTACAGTTCAGGAAGATGCTGATGAGGATTCCCTGCAGGAAGATTACAGAATATCCACCTTCAAAAAAAAAAACCCCAAATTATATGGAAGCTGATTTTTATAGACTGCACTAGCAAACGCAAGAGCCTTGGGTCTATTTACAGATTTGGGTATGTGAAGTTTCCCAGGAGTTTATCATTGCCTGCTTGAGAAGTCTCTGGGTGCAGAGGCAGGTGCAGGCCAGCCCAGCAGCCACACCCTGCTGTCCTCACCCCTGCAAACACCCAGAGACATTGGCAACAGAAGACTTTATCAGAAGACTTTATCCAGGCACAGAGGCAGTCATGCTTTGGTGATATTTGGACATCCACAAGCAAAATAAGAACCGAGAACAAACATTTCACAATTTGTGTATTGCTATTTCTAACCAAATCTTAAGGACTTCAGGAAGCAGAGTGGCAGCACCCAAAGGAGAATTCCACCAAGACACTGAGCTTGCTGTCCCTGCCCCTTGAAGAAGACTCTGGGGAAGGATAGCATTGCCTCTACCATTTGGAGTCTGGGCAGTAAAACAGAATATGCTGCCTTCCTCTCTAAGAATGTGCTGGATATCTAGAACACATTCACAGCTGTTAGAAAGATTAAAAAAAAAAAAAAAAAAAAAAAAAAAAAAAAAAAAAAAAAAAGAAAAAAAAAAAAAAGAAAAGAAACTGAGTGTACACACATGTATTCCCTCTAACACATTCTTGCTCCATCCCATGCTGTAAAACTGATAGAAACTGATGGGTAAATCCTCAGAAAGTGCAAATTAGCATGGATCCACTAAAATCAATGAGACTATTCAGATCAGGGCAAGCAGTGCTTGGCTAGAGGAGTTTATACATCCAGAACCTTCCTTTTTACCTTGTAGAAAGATCACATTTTATCTTTTCTATAACTACCACTTCTACAAAAGCTCGGAGATCCATCCCTGCTGAGCTGGTGCACAAACACCACTGCAGTTAATGGTGATCACATGAAATACTGCAGCCTGGAGGATACCTATCCATGGACTAAGACATCATCGTCCCTAACACAGAACTGAAACGCTGACTTTCCCAGGAAAGCACATCATAATAGTCAACCAAGTGGATCAAGAGAGCAAAAATGTCATCTGGCTCAGCACAGGTGCTGTTTCTCTGGAGCCTAATCCCTCTGCCATTTTCATTCAGGCATCACAGCCAGAGTGTGGCAATGGTTTCACAAAATACACCTTGACAAGAGGAAAACAGGAGACAGCAACAAATCTCAAAGTATTAGGAAAAGCTGTTTGTTTGATTTCTTGTCCTGCTCCCTGCTGCTGGGAGAACTGTTCCATGAGCCCGGAGCAAGACACTCGCCCTCATACTCAGCAGGAAAAGACAACACTCCCTTTCCCCACTGTATCACCATCAGCTCCCTCAGGGGAGCAGAAACTGCCTCTGCTCTTGTCCCCACGGTCTCGACAAGTTCAGGTAAGAACTCAGCTCCTCCCCACCTGCCCTTCCTGAGCTCCAAGCAGCCAAGTGTTAAGAGCAGGGTCAGAGCAGCACGAAGGCATCATGAGATGCACCCCAACCTCACCAAAAGCAATGCCTGAGCTTCCCTGCTGCTAAGAGGGATCATGGCTAATCACTGTTTCCCTTTTAAATTCCCTTTCCTCAAAATACTAGTTGTGACCAGCATTAAAATGCATTGCTATCGTCAGTTTTTTAAATAGGAAATGATATAGCCCTTTTCTTCCCTTTCCTTTAGCACAGGGAGAAATGCTGAGCGTGAGCATGAGTACCAGACCGTGACCCTGAGCAATAACGAGCCCCAAGTTACGTGTTTTTACGCAGTATTGCTCTCTGCAATGGGGGTGGGGGGAAGGGAAATAATTTTCCTAAATCAGCCTCTGTTTCGTATTGTTCTCACCTTGACCTTTGGTTGGCGAGGCGTCTCGCTTCAGCTGGTGTCCGTGGGAGCTCCTCCCCTGCAAGGATGTCTGCATTCCCGCTGGAATTCCGCAGGCAGGTCCCGGCTGAGGGGATGGATCGCAGCTCGGAGCAAAACTGCGGGACTGCCCTCCCTGCCGGCCCTGGGTTGGCATCGCCATCAGAGGCTGCTGCACGAGGTGCCTGCTGGGCACGGGATGACAGAAAAAAGGCAATATTTAAAATAACAAACTCTCCACCGATCTGAGCTTTATTTTGCACAGGAGAAACAGGATTAAAATAGCAGTCTTAAAGTGACTGTGCAAGGGAAAATCAAGGAGGGAACCTTTCGAGCACTTGTGTTTAGAGATGGTACATGGTACTGAATATGGATCAGAAATTTTAATGCCCCCCCCCCCCCCGAAAGTATTTATAGGGATGAGAGACTATAGATGTCAGCAATCAACTGTAATTGAAATAAACTCACAAACCAGCTTCCACACCGAATTCTGGCACAGGGGTTGGACAAGGTTTTGGGGGGGTCAGGGGCTGGTTGTCTGTCTGGTTGCTGCTTTTTGTTGTGGAACTGGTTTTTTGTTTTGTCAGAGTATTTTTTTTTTGGGGGGGGGGGTCTATTGCATTGGGGTTTTGTTTGGGGTTTTTAAAATCAACTGTGAAATCTTGTTCTTATGAAAAATACAGCCTTCGAGGGGCAGACCATGTGATTTAAGCAAAAAATAAGGCCAGAAAGGAATAGCATAGAAGACCTGAATGTAAAACCTGTATCAAAAACTCCTTGCTGGTCCTGAAGAAATTTTGAAACTGGTCTTACGCTTCTGAGTGAATTTGCCCTAACTCATGAACACTCTGAGGAAATCTTTTTACATCTCTCCTGAAGATCTGTTCTGCTCCAGATAAAAATCCTTTAGTATTAATTGTGTCTGAGTGTCATAAAGAATAACTTTACAGCTCTCTGGCAAGAGCACACGTACAGGAGGTACAAAGTTTACTTGATTTAACTGTGTATTGGAAGCAAAGAGATTTTATGCTTCTTTTCTGCTTACTTTAGTAAACTGAGATTAATCTATTTTCAGAAGCTGAAATGAACTTATTATTTTTATTTTTGCTTGAAACCATCTGCCAAGTTCAACTGAAATTCACAAACCATGTGAACTTCTGTTTGCTGATTAAACACAGACTCAACAGTAACAAACCAGCATCTTGCCTTTCCTTATGTGTAACCAAATCCCACTGAACACTTTGCAGGTTGAAAGCAAACAAGAGACATTCTTCCTGAAAAGCTGTAAGCTTTCACATGACTAACCAAACTGCAACTGCCCAGCAGTCCCTAACAACTAGATCTGCTTGTCTCTAATTAAATTTTATCCATTTAAGCCTGTGATAAAATGGGATAAAGTACTCAATATACACTGGTATATTAATTAATGAGATTATTTCCATCTTCTAGTACACTGAATGACAGAAGTCTTGGACACAAATTGCAATTAACACCCTTGGTGACGATGGAGAACTTCTTTTCTGGCTTTGAAAATTTAGCAAGTAAAATTAGAATAGTGCTTTGCTGTAGAAGAAAAACTAGTACTTCTCTCATACCTCTCCTTTTCCCTTTCTCCACAATGAAACATCAAAATTGGAAGAGCCCTGGCTCTGTGCACATTGGCCAGCAGCACAAGAGCAGCAGAGCTGCAGAGGGTGAAGACAAGCCCCAGGGACTCAGCATGCTCAGTGTTCTTCTGCTCTGGCTCTCCTGGGCTCTGCAGTCCAACCCCACGGCAGCTGCTGGGGTGTGACTGGATCGTGTCCCACCCAGCAGGGATCAGTCTGCACACTCCAGAAGAACTGATTCACATCTACACTCAGGCACAGCAAGTGGGGATGACCAGGAGATTCCCTTAAAACCCTCTGTACAAACTAACCCACTGACACGGCCAGACACAGCTGACCCCACCGTATCTGCCGTCAGGAACACCTTCCATCCACGAGAGGCATTTCATTTGAGGTGCAGGACATTTCTGACAATCAGTCTGTCCAGGGGTTGAGCTCTGATAGCTCCATGTCTGTAAAACACAAGGCAATGTTACCAAGTTACTCCAGGAGGCTGCTGGAGTGCCTGTTCACAGGGTAATCCTGTGCAGGTGAACAGTTCTGTGCTCATCCAGGGCACAGGGGTGATGAGTCCTGACACTACCACGAGGGCTGCAGCTATTCCAACAGTATTATTTGATCTTCTCCACATTTTCAGAAAGTCACTATTCAGTATTCTAACTCTAAATTCAAACTAAATAAAACATTTTTCACTTTTTGAGGAAAGGAAAAAAAAGAGAAGTGGATAAGACATCTAGAAGATTTAATGACATAATGGTAACTCTATTAGGACATGAAAATTAATTTCAGTTTCCCTGAGGTATCTTATTTTAATTAACAAATCCATGATCCTGCTCTATTAATTAGCATACTGAAAGAATAATAAGTTTTAGATGAGCTTAGTTCCAATAAAGCTTTTCATCCCCTAAAAAAATAATAAAAGGAATTAAGAATCTCAATCCAATTTGTTGTCTACATTTAGTACCAACGTTTTGAAATTCTACCCAATGGTACAGCATAACTATTGGTAAATTCTTTTAATTTGAAAATATTTTGGTTTTGCACTCATTGTATTTAAGACATTCTACTTATTGAAGGGGTGGCAGTGGCCCACTAAGAAAAGGATTCCAGGTAATTTTATTTTTCATATTTTTTTTTTACTGATAACCAATAGGGATAACATATGGAATTTTTTTAAACACTTATCTACTGCTGATTTTCAAAAAAAAACCCCATACAATAACAGTTATCCATCAGCATCTCAACTGGGTCAAATAACATTCTAGGAACTTATCTGGGACACCAAGCTGCACAGCAGGTGCTTTGTGCCTCAGTTTGCCTGGACCATTCAGTGGTTGCTGAGTGGCCACTACACTGCTGGTCCAATCTCACATTTTTATAGATATGTTAATGCTTTAGTCTGCTCAGAGCAGATCTGGAAACCTGACTCTTTTTTTCCCAAATTTGTTTTATGTTCCTCTCTTCCTGTATCACAGGTCACTTCCTGGCAAAAAAAAAATCACAGCAAATTTTTGCATTTGTTTTGATTCCAGAAGCAACAAATTTGTACCTTTGATTCCTGCAAAGCACTTAGCAGGATTTGCTGTTATACAGAGTAAAAGAAGAGAAGGAAACATTAGCAAACCACCAATGGCTTAGGTTAGCAAAAAAAGCTAAGGGGAAAATTTCAGCATAGGTGAAAATGGATAGATGCTCATAACTTCAGAACTGTTTGTCCTGTACAGACAGCTTGCTTCTTTGACCTGGCACCATCTGTAAAGCAAACGAGAGCAAAAGTGAACACTAGGAGGTTGCATGTGCACAATTTTTCTAATTAGTATCCCTTGACAGCATTTTGCTTATGTATTTCAGATTACCAGGTTGGATGTTTTCAATGCTTTGCTGAAGAACAAAAGCCAGAACAGTTATGATGTTACAGAAAAACAACCAGCATTAATCGAATTTGTAGAAAGAGCTGAGCAGCTTAAAAATATGGGTTGTGATGGAGAATGTCTGCCAGCTTCATCACTGCACAGTCTCCCATCAGTCAGGGAGACTGCAATGGCAGGAACTGCTCTGGACCCAGAACAAGAGGCTCTTATGGTTTAAGTTGGTCCTGCTGTCTCCTTATCTCAGCTCCCTCAGGTTTGATCAGCACTGCTGTACATCCCATGAGATCCCCCAGTGACACCCTGGTGCTCCATTGCCTCTGATGTATGCAGGAAAATGATGGATATTCTCTGTAAGGATACTGAGAGCATGGACAGTTCACTGTCATAGACAACAACTTCTTGCAAGAATATCTAAATATTCACCTTTTTTTCCTTTTTTTTTTTTTTAAATTTATTTCATCCCTTTTCATCTCCACGTGGTCCATCAAGGAAGCCTAATTAGCATGTCCCTCTCCTATCTCTGTTTTTATCTCAGACATCTCATAGCAATCATCCTCTGTGTTTATTTCTAACCATTTATGTCCCAGGCATGTTAAAGAAGGATGTTTCTCAGCACAATTATTAACATGCTATCACTTTATCGTGTACCTTAAGGTTTTGTAACATGTTTGGTAGTTTACTCAAAAGAAATACAGAAGTTAAAAGAAACTTCCCCTCCCTCCCCCCCAAGAAAATAGAGTGGTCTGTTCAGACATTCATTGCTCTAATAATTTATTTTCTGAGAAGAACCTTAATCATGGAAGCAGTGAACATTCTTATTTCATACTTAATGTTTCTTAATTAGTGTTTCAACATCTCAGGATTTATATTTTTGCTGCAGTGGGGATTGGCACAGTTAGAACCATTCATGTAAAAGAAAAAAGCAGTTTTTCCTTAATGAGAATACTAAATTAATGCTTAATAATAGACTTAAATAATAGCATCTTAATTAGATTGCCAGCTTTCACACTCATTGTTATCAGGTAAAAATACAGAACTTCAAGTTTCAGAATTATTCAAAAGAACGAGAAGTTAAAAAAAGAACCCCCATCCTGCTAAGTACACACACCATTTTCATGTGGCAATTATACTATTTTACTCTAATACTTACAGTTTGAATACAGTAGACAGACAGGGAAAGACTCAGTATACCAAAACCGAAAAACATAATTAATTATAACAGCAAGAAATGAGAATAATTACATATTGGATGAAATTCTGCTCTCACTTACTCCACCATAAGAGTTTATTCTGGTGACTAGTATGTGAATGTGCCCTCTTTTATATATATATGTGTGTGTATATATATATATTTATCCAAAGAACTATACATTTTATAGACTGCAGCATTTGGTTAATGGTTACTAAATCTGGCATTTACAGAGACGTTAGGAAAGATGGTATTTATTTGCAATTTTATTTCCCTCACAGTGAAACATGGAATCCATACAGCTGTACAATGAAGATGATTAGAATTGCCAGAAATGAAGGCCTCCTGG